TGAACATAAATATCAAACTCATTAAAAATTCCTTCCCATTAGAAATTAGATACAGTAACTACCAGATAAGACATCTGACGTTAGTTACAACAGCACAACAAAAGAATACAGTTGACTATGTATACAATGTAAGTCACAACTAACAAGATTCAGCCTGTTGTGATGCTTGCAAAAGCTGTCACTAGAATTTCTTTCATTGTACACAAACTTTTCAAAAAATTGATAGAAGCGTAACTTACACTGCTGCCCTCTTCAAATTTGCAGGAGAGTTCTACATAATCTTTGCCATCATTAGGTTCTGGGGCCCAGTTGTATACCTACAAGAGTAAATAATACTGACAATGAAAACAAAACAAAAAACAAAACAATAACGTACAATCACTACACAAAATGGATGATTCCAGAAAATATTCATACGGCCCATAGGATAATTAGGAAATTAAATCCCTAAAGACATAGCCTTAATTGACTCAAGGTTTTATATCATGACATTTTGGTAGCATCTTTTATAGCAGAGAGCATTTTTTTTATCATTATTATTGTAAATAGTTTCTGAAAAACCTTTGAGAGAATGAATTTATTAAAGTTTATATCACATTATTATTATATTACCCATTACCAATTCTACGGGAGAGGAGGGTTTCTTGGACTGGAGTCCTGAAAGTGGGGGGGGGGNAAATATGTCTATGTTTCTTTCCGATTTAAAACAGTAGAGTAACGATCTTGTTGTGTGCGAAAAAATTGCACCAGTCTCTTGTTACCAAATGGAACACCTGACAGATCTGTAGGCTGTATTACTAGTGGTCAGCAGTTACTCAATGAACAAAATTTTCAATATGGCGTGTGATGGCACATCATGAACTTTACTTTTGTCTTCCACTGGTATCAATATGATCTACTCTTCTGAAAATATAAAGCTAATGAATGGAAAACAAAAAGCTTTACGCAACTCAAAGATAATACCTAGGAGGGAAAGCTACGGTGTACTTCACTAAACCTTGACAAACTTGAGTTGCTTGTTTGCTTGACCAAAAATTGTGAGCAGAATTTTCTTGGAGGGGAGGGGGGGTGGGGGAAGCACAAGTTTCCCATTAGTTAGAAGTTTTATGAAGTCAAACAGGAATTCCAAAGGGTCTGAAAAAAATTGGAGATTCCAGAGGGGAGGAGGTGTTATCGATTTTGGAATCTGGAGGGCATGGGGGTAGAGCATTTTGGAATTTCAGAAAGCAAGGGGGGGGGGGGATTAAAATGTTCATGCCACCCATGGTAGGGTATGGATATTATCTGGGATCACTCAACAGTTATGTTGATAACCCTTAAAACTCCAACCCACAAAAATGTTCTAGAATGTTCTTATTTTGCCAGAAAATAATGCACTATCCTGTTCTCGGGACAGTTACTTATCTGCCATTTTCCACATTTGTCATAGACTTTGATGTCCTAGGTCGAATAGAGAAAACAAGAGCCATTTTTTAACCCTATTCATATCAAACTAATTAATACAAAAAAAAGTGGAACTAACCCTGTTCAGCTTCATAAAGATGCACGGCTTTCCTTCATCATAACCATATTGAAAGTCCGAGCTATTGTCATAGCATTCACCAAGTGCAGTCAGGTCCATGATACAAGGCTTGGAACCCTTTACACGCTCGTCCTCAGTACAGTTCTGGTACTTGTCATCCTGATTTTCTGCAGCTTTTTTATAAGCTAAAAAAGAGAAAATAATGCTCTCTTGTTGAAACCACAGGCCTTCATAATGTAAGTTGCTACTGGGAACAAATAGATTTGAGAATTCTGTACTGCTTGTACATTGTACATCAAGATAGTATTAACAAACTCCACATGTTATTTTGCCTTACTGATTGCAAAACATTCAGTTTTATATAAATTAGTCAGAACTCTGACCAGACCGGCTCACATCCCTGAGGCATATCTCCGTTTTTGTCAGATGGAGCAACTACAAATATTGCATCTGCTGCATGGGATGCCAATACCTTACAAGTTAGCCCCAAGTGTTGCATTTTGACATCCAAAAAATTTGCCAGTACCCATTTATACTACTGGGCCAGGTTGTTTGAATGCCGGTTAATGCCAACTCAGGATTAAAGCAGCTCAGCCGGGGTATTTTAGATTATTTTGGCCACATCCAAAATTACCTTAAAATTGAAGGTAATTTTGTTTAGTTTAACTAAGATACAAAAGCACTTACGAGATACTAGTAAACCATAAAGGAAAAGGAATCATTGGTTAAGGATGGAGAAGATTGACAGGGTTTAAAACAATGAACATGAAAAATTTAGGCTAAACCTTTCAAGATGCGAAATGAGACCTAGCTCTTTTAATCCAAAGTATTAATTTTTTCCTGTATAAAACGTTTTCCCCTGCTTATGTTCCATGCAGTTTGTGATTATTCACCCTCCAGACAGAACAACAAGCAATATAAACAGAAAACCTCACCAAAAAGTTCTAAAAATGAAATAAAAATTCTCGCTAATACTAGGTTAGCTTAGTCGAACTTTACGAAATCCAATCCTGGGTGGTTAGAGGCACGTGCCAGGCTACTACTAATACCCAGACCTGAAGTCTGACCTAAGGTACAAAGTAGAATCCATAAGGTCACTGTAAATCCTGTATCAGCAAATCAATATCCCAAGTGAACAATTTCCTCAAAATTACTCTCAGCTCTACTGACAACTAGTATTGTTACGTAGCACACAATAATGAGATCTCACATTCAGCATACAAGACTTGTTGTGCTTTGTTGCTACAATATGAGCTTACAGTCTTGATTTGGTTTTAAACCAGAACTTTACTTTAAAAAAAATATCCAAATTATAGGCAAGTCCTAACTTTTTTAGTCAAACATTTGATAGGAGAAGGGCAAAACATGCGTTGTTAACCAGTACCAAAAAAATTAAACTTACGTTTCAAAAAGTTGTTGATTGAACTGACAATGTCACTAACTTTTGCATCTGTGACTATTTCCGCTGGAAGGGCAATGAGGCCTGTGAAAAAAAAACAAAAAACATTTAGTTATGGATAGTATTGCTCACAGTGTCATAAAATCATAACCACCAATGATGCTACCTACATGTACAAAGATGTCACAAAGAAGAGCATTAATCTTAATGCAAATTTTTATTTGTGAGGTCCTGAAAGATGTGTTTCGTCATTCCCACAGTAGCTAAAAGTGCTACATTAGCTATGAAAACATGGCTGCCATAGTTTTTAAGAGAAAGACCAGCAAAGTCTCTCATAAAAACCACTGCTATCTGTTTTTAAACCAACTTTAACATTTTAAGGCTACCACATCAACATTCTTACTGCTGCAAATTACTAAAACCTTTTCAAAATTTCTGTTTGAGAATGTAGCAGAACTCATATTTGGGTAGCGCAATAGAATGGTTGGTTGTGATTTTATAATTTGATTATATCATTCAAGCTGGAGTTTCATATTTTTCAAACTTCATGCTGTTCAATCAAGAGTCAGTGAAATTAAAACGCATATATAAACTGTAATAATACCCTTCTGTATGCATGAATGCATCTAAAAAAGTAAAACTAAATCACTGTTAGAAAAAATCTTAAAAAGCACTTTATTCAATGACAAAGAGGTAGCCGGTGTATTCGTATAGGCATTCTGACTAAATTTGAGGACCTTTTTCTAGGTTCAAGTATTTGAATGTCAATTAAGCTCTCAACAGGTGACGCTTCTGTACAACAAATCAAGCGCAAAATCAATACGATTGAACATGAACAACATCATACTTCATGCAAATACAAAACAAACTTGCTGAATCATATTAGTCCATGTCAACAATATACACGAAGCTGTTCTAATTAAATGTATTAAACGTACTTTTCGGGCAATCACGAAAACTGCTCCGTTTTAACACCTGAAATTTTAAGCTACAAAACTTCATTGATGTTCAATAAACAAGATTGGACGAAAGCTACAGACCACCAAAATTTTGGGACCCACCCCTCGCTTATTTCTTATACACTGTTTTGCATGGAAGATCAAGTAAAATGGAACAGAATTCTTAAAGCAGTTGACATACTTTCACCATCAACTCTTTTTTCCACTCATTTAAAGTTTACATTTAAGCTTGCAAATGCAAATTAAATGTCAACCGCTTCAGTGGGTTTGGAATTAAACGAGCTCGAAATTGATCCAAGCATGTTCGAGTCAAATACGGAGGAATCATATTTCAAGATTTGTTCTCCCTGTAAAAGTGAATTCAAGGTAAAAGAATTGGAATATTTCGGTGAAATTAACAAAAAATTTAAAGAAAGCTATGATCTCCTTGGTAAAAATATTTACGACGAAACTACTCAACGTGAGGTTCGTTTCTTTATTTGAATTGCTAATGAATGTGAAACCACATGCATACTGAAAGAGGTAAGTCGGCGCACATTTAATTACAGTTCTTTCTGTTTTGACCTTGAAAAGCGTAGCCGAGATACGATCTACTCACTAATGCTTTACGAAAACTACAAAATAAACAGAGAAATAAAAAGAAACCTGGCTTTCCCGCTAAATATCTTGTCATCTTCGGGCCTTCTTCTCGAGCTGGTACCGTGGTCATGAATATAGTCAGCATAGAGGCGAAAAACGCCGCCAAACAACCATAGAAGATGAAGAAGAAAACCAGGATCTTCGCTGAAATAGAAAAAATGAGGAAATAAACCTCATTTTAAAAACTAAAAGCTACAGTTTGTGGTGTATTTCATTAACAAATCTGCCAACAACCAACATCGAGCATTGTACAATTCTCCTCCAAGTAAACTTTACGCAAGATCTAAAGACACTTACCCCAGCTCTTGCCATTTCTACCCATAACTTGCACTTCCCCGTTTTCACCATCTTTGTTGTAAATGAAGTGCCCAAAATCTCGGGCGGTATCCTGAAAACGTTCAAGTCTTGTCTTTCCTTCTTGGCCTTGTTTAGCGTACGCCATCTTGCAAGCCTCACCACGCGAAACACCGGCAAGGAGCACGTGACCTCTCCTTTTCAGGGCACCGAGTCAGACTAATCCCCAGGGATGGGAGGCTGGCAGTCTTTTCGCTAAATATCAGCTTGAGTGTTGAGTGTTATTGGCCCTTCCCACAAGTGTCCGCCGAAATTAGGAGCTCAAATCCAGAGGCTCCTTCAGTGTATGCATGGTAACGTTTTACGTAGCATTTTCGTGTTATTTATGTAATCGTCCGCTGTTATAGAAAGAAACTGGCGACCTTTTTTTTTTGTCGTGTCCCCAATTAGTTGTGAAAACTAAATACCTTGACACATTAATAAAGCTTTTACTTTACTTTTACTTTACTTTACTTCTCTTCAATGGAGTATTTCTTTCTTATGTTGCTCTAAAACAATATAGTATTTTATATCTTCCACTCTATCAAGTGACTTAACGCGTCCGAAAATGTTCTGTGTTGCAGTGACGCGTTTAAAGCCAAAAATGTTGCTAATATTTTCAGCGTGAATGTCAAATATGGCAAGCACTTGACTTTTACTCACCGTTTAGTATACTGGCTAGAGGCAAAATTCTTTCAGACAAAGGTTGCCAATATTTTTGCACATTGGCTTTCACGTGGCTTGGCACATTATATTTTTCAATGAATTGGAGATGCTTGGAGTGCTACAATGATAATGGGGATTAATTTACATAGCGTTAATATTCTATACATGTACGGTTCAATTGCGAAACCGTGAAGTGAGATCGGGCCAAGGCACATTTGACTGCTGTTATCATATCAGTTCATTGCAATCTGTTTCTTTTTACCCACCTAACGCGAGTTAAATGTTAATATGAACCATATCGAATCACAATGGAAATTACGTCCCCAACCGGGTTGTACTGCCGTAGTATAAAATCGATCGCCGCTCAGCGCGACCCTACAATGATGTGATTTTTACTGCTGTCTTACAGATATAATCTAAATGACGCGATTTATCGAAATGACGAAGTGAAAGGAGATTGCCACTGGGTGTTATCGACCAGTATCCAGCGAGAGTTAACTTATTGGCCCTATAGGACTTAATTATGTCTTTCAGTCCGTTAAATTGATGACTTTTCGTCGACTCTTAAGAATGTGTCTTTTCTTCTAAGAGTCACATCAACTATTTTGTCGCACGTTTCGAATTTCACGATCAGTTTGTCTCAAACAGAC